AAATAAAATTTTAAAATTTTGCTTGCAAATCAAATTCTTGGCCACCGTGTGGCTTAATATCACCTGTTATTAAGAGATTTATATGCCTCCTTTAAATCTTGTGGTTAAATGAAAAGAAAATTTAAAAATCAAATTGTTGGCCATTTAAGGGATATAATTTCTCGGGTAAACAATGCATGACTAGAATAAATACTATGAAACGTACATACAAAACCATTAAAGAGCATAACGCAAAATCTGGCAACAATGCGCGTACATGGAAATATTATGAAGTAAGTATTACCTTAGTTAAATTTCACGTTATACAACATTTACGTTCTTACTCCTCTAAGTGCAATTTAACTGTTTAGGCCATGGAAAGTCTTCTAAGCAACAAATCTTATATAACACCACTGGCAACTGTTTCGTCAACAGGACGTATGACATCGAGAAAAATATCGGCATCTCCAAGTATTAGCTCTCAAAGTAGTTATAGCATTTGCAATTCTCCTTGTCAATCCAATAAAGAAGTTTCTCGTCAGTAACTGTTTACTATATTAATTAATTAGGCGAAGTGTGAGAAATATAGAAAATATTTCTACTTCTAAGTAAACGTAAAGCCACCGATGTAACGGAAACGAAAGTACAAAAGCAACTGGCAGAAGAAAGAAAAGAGAAGAGACACAAAGAAAAAATGGAAATGGGAACAAAGCTATTGGAAAAATTGGATAAACTTATAGAAAAGATATAGGTACATTAACAGACCTGAGTGAGTACTGATTAGACACGTCATGATTGGATATAGCCACTTACAGCGGCCACTGCCTGAACTTTTTCCACTGTTTAAGTGTTGTGAGTGACTCATATCCAATTGTAACATGTCCAGTCGATACTCACCCGATCATTCTCGATGTTACACAAACAGTTTCAACATGATCTTCTTGATATCTTTTTTTCACAATTCTTGCTTTAAAGGTCTTAACCGACATGAAGAGATATTTTTTTCAAGTCCTATAATTTTTTATTTATTTGGATTATTTGGGACTGATCTATTTTATTTTTTGGCTTTACTATTAAATGGAAACTGTTGTTAATTTTTGTGGTCTATTTTACTGTTGATTATTTTTCATTCTTTCAATATAATATATATGCATACTGCTCTATGTACAAAAACGTTATTGTTAAAAGTAAGGTGAAATGAACATTTTCGTTTCCATATGTGCATTAAGAAATGTGATAGTAAATGTGATTCAGATAAAAATAGAGATAATAGTTTGCATGTAGATATATTCACATCTAAACGTACGTACGAGGGGGGACCCAAAAAAAACGGGAATTTCGTCATAACTTCTTTATTTCTCAATATTTTAACACCAAATTTTGATCACCTTCAAAGTATTCGCCATTGACCACAACGCACTTCTCCAAACGATTCTTCCATTGTTCAAAACAGTTTTTAAATTCACTCATCGGGATGTCCTTTAAGCCTTCCAGCGATTTTTGTTTCACCTCCTCCACAGTGGCAAAACGCTTTCCTTTCATATTCCTTTTGAGTCTGGGGAACAAAAACCTCCAAGTAGAGCTTCTGGTTGGCAGTTTGACCCGGGGGAACGAACTCCGCGTGCACAACACCTCTGCAATCGAATCTGCCACTGTGGAGGAGGTGAAACAAAAATCGCTGGAAGGCTTAAAGGACATCCCGATGAGTGAATTTAAAAACTGTTTTGAACAATGGAAGAATCGTTTGGAGAAGTGCGTTGTGGTCAATGGCGAATACTTTGAAGGTGATCAAAATTTGGTGTTAAAATATTGAGAAATAAAGAAGTTATGACGAAATTCCCGTTTTTTTTGGGTCCCCCCTCGTATATGTACAATATACATGAGATCGATTCCAGATCTTAGACAGATGAAGAATTAATAAATTATTTTTGAACAATTTAATCACATGACTAAAGCCTTGTGTCCACGATGCTAGAAATTGGTCCGAGATCTCGGAGAGAGAAAGAATTAACCAATCACATTTAAACAATTTAGTCACATGATCAATGCGATTGGTCAATTCTTTTTTCATCCGAGATCTCGGATTTTTAGCATCGTGGACACTGGGCTTAATACGAATGGCTCATCCTTTCCCTGTCCGAGATCTTGAATCTATTTCTGACTTCATGGATACAAGGTTTTATTTTAATATATTGTACGAATGTTATATTTTATGAACATTATATTATATAAACATATTATATGAACATTATTATATGAACACACTTTAAATGATTATTTATTGTTTCTTAGTTTTAAGGCTTTCTTTTGATCAATTATGACAACTTTTTGTATTACAAAACTTCCTTAGAATGTCCATTACAAAAATAGAACGTTGTAATAAATTTAACAATGCATCGTCCAAAAAAGTTATGCTGGAATTAAGAAAAACCGTTCATTATGTATTTTTTTAGAATTAAAATATGTTATGAAAATAATGTAATAATTAATGTTTGTTAAGGGGATGCTGGAGTCTCATTTTTTACCGATAAAGCGAGCGTTTATGTTAAATACGAATTTCTACGAATTAGTTGCACAGAATAAAAATTCCTTCTCCACGATTGAATTATCTGTGCTAATGTACCTGCTTCTGGTGTGTTTTGTGTCCAAAGCTGAGAAAAATAATAAATTACAGATTTCTGTATCCATGTGCTATCAGCTCACCAAACATTTACTTCGTGAAAAAATTATATGCACGTTATATGCTCGAAATGAGAGCAGAAGCATATGTAGAATAAAACGACGAATACAGTCATATCTTTAGAATTGAGTTTTAATGTCTAAATAAAAAGATAATCGCATTCTACGAAATTGTGTATCTAGCGCGTGAGAAATCGACGATGTACGACAGTTTAGACTGTTGTAGAGTAACAAATTAGTTCCTGAATATTAATCCAGATGGTGCTGTGAATGAAGTGTCAGACGGGAAAGACGCGGCCGCTGTCAGCTGTGGTTAGCTGACAGCTAGTGTAACGA